GGAATAAACTTTTAAAAAAAAAACAAAACAAAACCTCCTGGTTTCTCATTTATGTTTTTTTTGTTTTTTTTCTCCCCGACGGCCCGTTCTAGGTCGAGGTGGGCACCGAAGGAGCTGGACCAGATGCTCAGCAGCTGCTCTGTGTGGCACTGAGGACCCGGTTTGTGCTCTGCCACACCAGCATCTCACTGGGAAGGGTCCCCACCAGCGATGCTTCTGCTTTGGGGGGGTGGGATGGGGGCAGAAAAACCCCTCCAGCAGCAAACCTGGGGCTCTGCCTTTACCCCTGCGCCGAGAGTCCCACCCTTTTAAGTCGCCTGCAAAATTTAGGAGGCTGAAATCTCAGTCCCTCGAGGGTGCAGGGGTTGAGACATCTCCCCCCGGGGGGGCCAAGTGATGCTGTTGACCCCCAGGATGAAGCTGCTGCTTTTTTGGGGTGGGGGGGACCACGGTGCTCCCCTCTTTGCCTGCAGAGAGCCAGGGCTCTGCGTGTTGCAATAGCTGTGTTGCAAATCCATGCAGTGCTTGGTGAAGAAGGTGGGGGGGGGTGGAAAAAGGGGCTCTGTTCCCCCCCAGGAGCCCCCCCCTTGAGTCAGATTTCTCAATAATGCAAGTCTGGGGCAAGTGCTAAAAGCAGGAGTGACCTGCCAGGACCCATCGTGGTCCCATCCCATGGTGGCTTCCCAAACATGCAAACCTGGGCAGGGAGCTCCTGCGGAGCCAGGCACATGCAGGATTTAGGGCTGGGACACACTCCCTGGGGGGGGGGAAAGGGGGGGCTCAGGTCCCGGCCTGGGGAAGGCAAATGGGACTCAGAAGCAGTGGTGAGCCACCCCAAATCGAAAGGGAAAGAAACTCATGGTCCTACCTGCTCGCTGGTGCTGCAAAGTGGGAGAACCCCCAGTGTAAGCTGGGCTGGAGCCACAACTTTGCTCCAGCAGCCGTGGCTGAGGATGGGCATGTCAAAAGAGGGACTCCGAGGTGCTCTACTGAGGCCAGCCGGGAAGAGGAGCAAGGAGGAGAAGGTGGGGACACCACCAGGAGAATCCTTACGTGCCATTCTGGGAGTCCTCCTTCCCTACACACCATCCTGAGCATCTTCCAGGATGGGAGTCCTTCATTCCTGCGTGCCATCCTGGGCATCTTCCATCCCTACGTGTCATCCTGGGTGTCCTCCATCCCTACACACCATCCTGGGCGTCCTCCATCCTTACACACCATCCTGAGCATCTTCCAGGATGGGAGTCCTCCATTCCTGCGTGCCATCCTGGGCATCTTCCATCCCTACGTGCCATCCTGGGTGTCCTCCATCCCTACACACAATCCTGGGCATCTTCCAGGATGAGCATCCTCCATCCCTACGTGCCATCTTGGGCGTCCTCCATCCCTACACACCATCCTGGGCATCTTCCAGGATGAGCATCCTCCATCCCTACGTGCCATCCTAGGTGTCCTCCATCCCTACACACACCATCCTGGGCGTCCTCCATCCCTACACACTCACTCCAGCAGCAGCATCATCTCTGCCAGGGATGGGCTCCAAGGAGCTTTCCCTTCTCCCAGCTGGGAAGGGCAAGCAGAGGTTTTGGGGTCTCCCCCATCCTGCTGCCTTCTCCTGCCGGTACCTGCTGCGTTTGTGCACCTACAAGGACACAGGTGGGACATGCAAAGTCAGTCCGATGGGTAAAGCCACCTCTTGTTGTCCAAGAGCTTTTTTTGACAGCTGGATCCTTCTCCACTGTCCCTGGCCATGGTGGGAGCGCTGGTTGGGGGGGGGGGGGGGCGGGGGCCACCCCCAGCAGG